CATCCCATCCCATCCCATCCCATCCCATCCCATCCCATCCCATCTCATCCCATCCCATCCCATCCCATCCCATCCCATCCCATCCCATCCCACTGCAGCCTCTCCTCTGGCTCCAGAGGGGCTGTGGGGTGCCCAGGATGGGCCTTTGATTTCCATACTGTGTGAACAACATCACTTTGACAGCGTCTCTTTTAGCTCTCCAGATATGATTCCTGCCAGTCTTTTGTGGCAAGTAGTATAGAGGACTTTGGAAGCTACAAAAATTTCATGAAACACACCTTGGAAAAAATCTGTAGAGGCCTTTGAATGATTAAGTGTCATTCCTAATTGACTCTAATTATTAGTTTCTAGCTTTTATGTCCCATTCAGGCTGTGTTCTGGCACTGGGCTGATGCTTGAGGATGACACTTGATTTGTCTGTGCTTTCAGAGAAGGGTGTATTAGTTTAGAAATTTCTTGGCCTTGACTTAAAAAACAGAAACCCCCCAAATCCACTGCAACCAAAGCCTCTGTCTGTTTAAGGTGTATGAGATGATTCTTTTCCTTGAAGCAGCACTGACAACCTGTATGTTTGACCTGTCTCATTCAGTCTGAAAAAAGTGAAGTTTGGGGGATTTTTAAGCTTTCTTTTTTTTTGTAAATAAAATATAATGAAAATGCTTCTGGGAACGTTTTTGAGTTCCAACAGTAAGATTCTTATAGGAAAAATGTTCCTGTCTTTCAGTGTGTGTTTGTGGAAGCTGTGGCCTCAGCTGTGGCCCAGTTGCAGGGTTCTTATCCCACTGTAGTGGTTGGAAGTGGGAGGAGCGAGGGACACGCTCAGAATCATGTCCTGGCTGCTGAAAACCAGGAGACTGAGCTCATCCTGGGGAAATCCCAGTCCTGGCCTGGGCCACAGCTGTCCCAGGCATGCTGTGGTCTCACAGAGCTTTGGCACCAGGAGCAGAGCTGGCACAGGAGGGTCCCAGGCAGTGTCTGCAGCACGGCCAGTGAGTGAGGAGTGTTGTGGTTTAAGTGTTCTGCAACACTTACACTCTGAGCTGCAAACAGTGTCGGGAAAGGAAGGAAATACAGTGTATTGCATCTTCCCTGCCTTGTCTGTGAATTCCTGCAGCATTTCCCTGCCCTCTGCTGGCTTTCCTCGCTGCTGCTGGAGCCCTGACAGCTCCAGCCAGGCAGAGCTGGCTCTGCACACCAAGCTCAGGGGCCTGCTTGGCTTTGATTTTTTTCTTCTTTTTTTTTTAACTCCTGTGGTGCCAGCCTGAAGTCTCACACAGTGCATGTGACACCCATAATTGACAGCAGATTAATAAAACAGACCTTTTGTTGTTTGGGACTTCAAACTTGAAAGGTTTTTTTGTCCAGCGTGTGCATTTTTTATGCCAATTTGATCTTCCCCATAGAGCCCCCTTGCATGGGATCTGCAGGATCTTACAACCTGTTGAGCTGGAGATTCTGCACAGAATACTTGGCAAAAGTCTTGTCAAAAAGCATCTCTTATTTCCTGCGTTCATCCCAGCATTTTGGGGGTGGGAGATGCTCTTTTAGAAGTCACTGCAAGCATGAGAACAGCTTCCTTGCTTCTTAAGGGTTTGTTTTGGTTTAGGTTTTTTTTTCTGCTGGCTGCTTCCCCTCTGAGCCAGAGTTGGAGTGGGAACAAAGTTTGTGCTGCTGGCAGATTGTTCCAGCTCTCTTCCCTCCCCACCTCCCGGTCCCCACCTCCTCCCTGCCAGGAGGAACAACTGTTTCTGGTTGTTTGCCTCTGCACTGGGAGCAGTTGCAAACACAACTCTGCTCTTCCCCGTGGCTGCTGCAGAAGCCCAAGGAATACCTTGCATTTCATTCCATATGATTGGAAATGGAGAAATGGGACTCTGTGGAGGAACTGGGACAGACAGGTAGACTTGGGTCAGGTGAGATCAAGGGCTCAGCGAGCTGCTTGCCAAAATTCCTGTGTGAGCAGGAGTCACGAGTCCCATCTGCCTCTCAGAGCATCCTCTGAGGAGGTGGCCTGGCCACCTGGGCAGGAGGGACCACGAAACACTGTGTGTGGACCAGGGACGGAGAGGAAGGAGGGAGGTGGGCTGGGGAGCCTTGGAGTTGCACAATGAGTTGGTCATTGTAAGTTCAACAACTGGCCTGGTAGGACATAAGGAAATAAAAACGTATCCATTGTTTTTTTCCTCTTTGCTCCTCAGTTTGACAGGCTGCCAGGGATCCCATGTGGCGATCGTCGCTCTCCTCCCATTTACACAATTCCTCGGGGTGGGAGCAATGGGAGTGTCCCAGCACCAGCGTGCACACTCCTGCTTCTCTTTCTAGACCAGCCTGGCACTACTGCTGCAGGGTGTCCTCATCCCTCAGGGAAAGGTGGCCTTACTCTCCCGGGGCCTTAACTTTTGGGGCCCCTTTCTGCTCACAGGACATGGTTCCTGCAGAAGGTAGCTGGTGTGGGGATTACCTGCATTGATGGCAGCTTTGTCAGGGACTGCATTTCTGTAGGAAAGGAGGGATTCTGGAAAGAAAATCATTCCATTCTGTCCCTTCCCTCCCTGGTCACCGTTGTTTGCTGGCCGTCAGGAAACATTTGCCTTGTGGTTTGAAGGGCATGAGTTCAGGGCAGCTGCTCTCTGTGCTCAACTGTGGCTTCCTCAGCTTCCATTTTCCCCATCAGTAAAGTGAAACTAAAAGGTTTGTGTTACATCCTGGCAACCAAACAGCATCTGACCCATCTGTAATGTCTGTCCAGCGATGGAGTTATTGAACTGACCGTGACAGCAGATCTATACAGTTGGTTGTGGAAGCACTTAGTGCTCTGTAAGTGGGGTCTGGTTTGGGGTGGGGATTTGTGCTGTGCCAGAGTGATCCCTGGTTAACAGGAGCTTTCCCGAGCGATGGGTGCTCGGGCTGCTGAAGGCTTTTCACTTAATAAACAGCAGCTGCTGATACCTGAGGAGCAACACAAAAGTGCTGAGGAGGAGAAATAAACGCTAGCATTGGTTCCTTTGCTAACTTCAACTTGAGATGTTGATCAATACAGTCAGGACTTGGACTGAGGAGCCTTGGTGATGGAATTTTGTGAGTGGAGCTTGGGGTAACATCTGGCCAGAGGCTGGATCTCCACTAGCGGCCCCGCAGGTGCTGGGACAGCGGCCAGCAGTGCTCCCACAGCTCCTGCTGTAAAGGACGAGCAGAAGCCACATGGTCATGGATATCAATGCAAGAAGGAAATGCCTTTCATAAGACATTGATCATTTTAGCAGCCAGCAATACAAATAATAAAACATTTTCATAGTGGAGCTGGACAATGGTGAGTTCTCCCGTTCTTCAGCAGATGTGGATTCACACGGCAGATCCATCACAGACAGTCCAGGCAAAGTTCACAACACAGAGAAAAACTCCTTGGCGTCGCAGTTGATGCAATTTTTACGGATGTGTTGCACATCCTGTTGTTAAACCTCTTCCCAGGAGCTCATCAGTAAATGAGCTGCTCCGGGGAGCGGAGGGCGGCAGCCGCGGCGGGAGCAGGTGGGAGCAGGTGGGAGCAGGGAATGGTGTTGCATCATGTTGTTTTGGCAGCTCACCTGAAGGGCTTAGAGCTGTTCCGACCTCTGCAGCAAAAACAGGAGGGAAAATTATGAGGGAAATGAGCTGAAATTAGCGTGAACTGGCGGGAGCTCTGGAGTCATCAAGAGGTTGGGAATTCATCGCTGTTGTAACAGAAGTGATTATAGTAGAACCAGGGAAATTGCTCACAGACTTCAAAATCTCCTGTAACTTCTTGCAGCATCTCAGTTTTGATGATTTCAGCCTTGGGGATGAGCGCAAGGGTTGACTGGTCCAGGCTTCAATTCCCCAGGACTTGCCTGAACTGGTGCCATTTATGAT